GCAGTTTCATGCGGGCTTCTCGGCTTTGGAGGGTATTCTCGCCCAGCTTCCCAAAGAGAAGTGCGCAGTAACATATCTGGATGATGCCATGCAGGACCACCCTGATGGAGAGAAAAACAAGATTACCCAACAGAACTGCAAGGTTGACCTTGAGTGAGAACCATGAGGTTCTGGATTCAGATAAGGAGATGCCTGGAAGAGAAGGCAAGAGAATTGGCGATGACATCGGCCATGCCCACGAACAGATGGATGCCCTTCGCCAGGAATGTCCAAACATACATGGCACTGTGAAAGCTACCGACAGGACCCAGCGCGCGAAGTCTCGCGGAAAAATATTCCAACCAGCACGTCCGGCAAGCGGTTCCACAAGCAGTGCAGTGCTTCGGGTTCCGCACCGCCAGCAGGACCCCTGGGGCAGAGCCCGGAAAAAGATGGGCAGGCCCAGCCGCCCCCGCCGCTGCCCCAGCCACCGAGCTGCCCGCCCAACTACCAGGGGGGGGGGGGGCGTTGTCTCGGGGGCTGAGTCGGAATCTAAGGTCTGACAAACTTCGGGCCAAGGGTGGGCCCTGAAAACAACGACCCTCAGCACTAATTCGCTTGCTACGTTCAAGACGAACCATGACGATGGGTCTGGTCGTTTTCAGTTCCCAGAAGCCTCCATTTTGCTCCTGCACGAAACGCTGTTGAAGGATGCTGAAGCAATCCAGTCTGCTGTGGAATGGTGTTATGCTCGTGGTTGGCTGTGCTGCTTTACGAAGGCTGCTGCTCATGTTTCTTGAGTACCTCCTGGTGGCGTTGCACTATTGTTCCGAGCAGGTCTCGACATTGGTGCAAGTCACGTGCCACTGGAATTTTCTATGCCGCATCGAATTTGTGCTCTCAAGATTGAAATCCCTGGGCTGCCCAAGCTTAGTCTGGTGTCGCTCTACATGCAGACTAAAGTAGGCCTGAACAATGCGAAATTAGCGCTCTTGGAAGATATTGCTAAGCTGCGGAACAGGCTCAGCTAACGGTGCTTGTTGCAGGTGGTTGGAACATGAAAGCTCGCAAATTGGAGTCGCATGAGTTTTTGGTTAAACCGGATACGGACGCTGTAATGCCTTCGAAACCAGCCTGCATTAAGCCCAAGTCGAATACTGTCATTGATTTCGTTGTGCTGTCTCATGTGCTTGCTGGCATTTTCACCGCGTCGTCTGTCGACCCGAAGTGCCCCGCCCCCCCACGCGGTCCAGCGTCTCCGCACGTGCGGTCGGATGAGCAGCGCACGATCGCAGCGTTGCGCAAGTGCCAGCGCATTCCTGAAATTACGCCCTTTGGTCCGTCTCTTGATAACCGTAGGAAGTTCTAGAAGACCGGGTCCCGAAGCTTTAGGAGGTGTGTGGTGCCGTGCAGGAAATGAGAAACGTCCGTGATTGCGCCAGTCTCGAGGCTCGCCAAGCTGCGTTGGATTTCGCGCGCGGTAGTCCTGCCATGGAACTTGAGCTCGCTATCAGCAGGATGGCAGGTACTCCCATCCAGGTCCAGGACCTTGACTCTTCTCATCCACCAGGACCCCGTGTGCCGCCTGGCGTTGCGGCCTGCGACCGCCTGGGCAATCTCTGGTTTGGAAGGCCGCGACGCGTCCTGGATTTGAACCCTCGTTGCCATGTCTGAAAGAGCTCGCCCTACTCAGCCTGGGCCATCCGCCTCGGACTCGGAACCAGGTGAATGGCTCCTCTGTGGCGGAGATAATCTCTCTTCAGAGGGTGTCTTCGACGTTCATCAACCCGCTTGTTTGGGAGGACCACCTGGGTCACGAAGTAGTTGTCACTCGAGCTCCGCTGCTAAATTGCTCAGTGATCTTCGGGCAGCGTGGATGCAGATGTTGTCTATGAAGGCGGCTAAGAAGTTAGGCCACCCTGGAGAGATCTTGGACGCCACAGTGTGCAAACAGCTTCTCTTTCCAAGCTGTGTGTTGTCGCAGCCTGAACGTGCCATGCTCAAGGCTTTCATCGCGCAGAGCTTGTGGTCCAGGTGGACATTTGCCCAGTTGGGCTACGTGATTGAAGGTGTTTCTTGCCCCCATTGTCCGCGCCCTCGGGGCGATCTCCACCGTCGAATCTCCGGCTGTTCTGAGACGCAAGTGGTTAGAGACGAGTTCTTGGAAAATAAGGTGTCTTCGATTATCTGCAGGGAAAAAGGATCCTCTCATGCTTGGGTTTCAGCTGATTCCTGAGCGTCTCTCGAAACGACCAGAATGTTTCGGGCGCGAAAAGTAAATATTTGAGTTGTGCCGATCCTATTTTGACTCCCTTGGAAGATTTCAGGGGCAAGGTCTGTTATCGCGATGGCTCGTGCTATAAAGAAGGTCATTAAGCTCACCGCCATGCTGGTTGGGCCTGCATTTGTCTTCAGGAAGGCGGGGAGTCCTTCGCCGTCTTGTCTGGAAAAGTTCGCGCACTCGGCATCAGAGCTCTGCACGGACTACAAAGGACTTGTAGCTAAGGCCTTGGAAGTGGTTTATGTTAGAAGGTCTTGCTATGCTAGACCTGTTTTAGTTGCCCTGAACCACCTTCCCCGTAGAAAGGCAGTAGCTGCAACGAAAGTGAAAGGCCACGTGAATGCTGACAGCTTTCAATGTTTTTTCGAGTGACTGGTACAAAGCTAAAGGCAACCATTGGGCTGATGTATCAGCGAAGGCGGCGGCAATGACTCTCGGTAAATGAGCTCTCCGAGTTCGACCTTGAGTCCAGCAGTGTTAAGAAGTTTCTGCTTTGTGTTGCAACAGCGTTTCTGCTATGGTCCCAGCTTGCACCTGCCAGACCCGCTCAGCCACAGGCTGCGTGGGGCAGGCGCTCCCAGCGCCGCCAGTGCCGGCGCCGCTGCTGGCGCCACCGCCAGACGCCAGGCCACCTCTGGAGGCAGTGCCCCGCCAGCGCCGCAGCCGAGGTGGAGGCGGATGCGGATGAAGAGTGCACGCACGTGCAGGGCTAAGCAGACGGTGTGGGGGAGCGGCGCGCCTGGCGTAGACGATGCCGCAGGCCGCCGACGCGGGGCGGCGGCAGGGCGGCGGCGCGGGGTGGCTCTCGTGGCTGGCTTGGGAGTTAGACTCACCCTCCCCGCCCCTGGGAGGGCTCCTCAAAAGCGTCCCCGCAGTTTTCCGGATTTTTCTGGGGACGCTTGCTCGTGGGTAGCGCCGACCCTGACCTTCCAGAGAGCTATTTTTTAGCACTGGAGACCTAAAAACCTAAAAAACTGAGCGAAACAGCCTAAAACCAAGACGTAGAATAGCTTTGGGATAGGTTATTAAGTCGGGTGCTATTTTTTAGCCCTCCTGGAAGGTCAGGGGAGCCGACCTCCCCCCCTCCCCTATGATGTCTGGAGGGGCTAGTGGTCGCGCCCCTTGCCTGAGGTGAGGGGCCACCAATTTAGATGGATGCGCGGCAACTGGGCTTGCCGCAGGTGCTTGATCCGTGTTCGCTCCGACCCGCCCGAACCTGCTGCGGACCGCCTTGGATTCAACTCCGTGGTCAGCGCCCTGGTGCAGGAGACCCAGGGCCATACAATTCATGTCACAGGCACTCCTGATGGAGTGACGCTGTTCTGCTGCATGGACTGTGGCAGTGTCAGAGGGGGAGTGAGACTAGGGGACCTTGGAAAGGCCTGCAAAGGCGGGCCTTCCTCGGCCCACCTGAGGAGCAACATCAGCAGAATCCGTAGAGGCATCCATCCCAACCACCTGAGAAGGGATGTGCCGCTTGACGAGCTGGTGCCTCTTGCTGATTTAACCAGTGCGGTGGATTGTGGTGGTTCCTTGGCTTCGACTGATGGCGTGGAGGGTTAGGCTCTGGGGCGCCCTCCCCCTTTGGGGTCGGGTTCGCTGGAGTCTTTCCCTTGTCGCTGCTAGTCCTAGCCTCTGCGATGCGATGTGTCAAACCGAATCAAAACAAATCCTCCTCCGCCTTCTCCTCCTCCTCCTCCTCCGCCTCCTCCTCCTCCTCCTCCTCCGCCTCCTCCTCCGCCTCCTCCTCCTCCTCCTCCGCCTCCTGCTCCTCCCTCCCCCTCTTCCTTTTCCTTCTCCTCCTCCTTCCCCTCCTCGGGGAACCCGGATCTGCGGGTCCTGGACGCTCGTCCTGGACGCTCTTGGTACGCTCTGGGCCTCTGGAGGCCTCTGGGGACCCCAAGATTAGGGCGACAGCGCCAGCGTTCGACGCCAGGCAAGGGAGCTCGCTAGAAGGGCTCGGGGAGGGAAGGGCTTGTTGGGAGTCGGGGGAGCTTCTGAGGCGGGAGGGGAAAGCAGAAGGGGCGCAGGAGGGAAGGAGGGGAAAAGAGAGGGTTCGCCTCCTCCTCTACCTCCTCCTCCTCCTCCTCCTCCTCCTCCTCCTCCTCCTCCGCCTCCTCCTCCTCCTCCTCCTCCTCCTCCTCCAAGAAATCGTATCCCGTATCCTTGCCTGTTCGAATCATGGGCTTGGGCAAGGGCGCGCGGTGAGCAGAGGGACCCGGCAGGGCCGCTGCCGGGAGTGCGGAGGGGCCGCCGAAGCGCCGCACCGCAGACGCGCCGCGCCGCCAGGGCAAGCTCCTCCTCCTCCTCCTCCTCCTCCTCCTCCTCCTCCTCCTCATTTTACCCATGTCGCTTGCTCCTCCTCATTTTCTTCCTCCTCCTCCTCCTCCTCCTCGTCATGATGTTCCCAATTGTCGCCTGCTCCTCCTCAGTTTCCTCCCTCCTCTCCCTCCTCCTCCTCCTCCTCGTCTTCATTCCTCATAATTCTCCTCCTCCTCACCTCCTCCTCCGTCTCCTCCTCCTCCTCCTCCTCCTCCTCCTCCTCCTCCTCCTCTTCTTCCTCCTCCTATCTCTCAGGGCCGTGCGGGGGCCAATTGGAATCTACGTGGCGTGCGCCAAGATTAATTGGAGGGCCCGATGGCGCCGCCGAGGCGGTGGCACCCAGATCAAGGCCGCGCGAGATGGCACGAGCGGCGCTGCGCAACCACCTCGGTGTCCTGCCGGCGCGGCGACACCCAGATCAGTGCCGGATGTGGCACGTGCTGCAGATGTACCTGGGGAAACAAAGAGGCACCGATACCTCTACTTTCCAGGCCTCTCCCGGGGTGCGCTCTGACCAGAATGTCGAGGCGAAGCCAGCCGTGGCAACGAGGGCCTCCGAGGAGGCCCGAAAACGACCCAAACGAAGGAGGGGTGGCGGTATCTGTACCTTTCCTCCTCGGAGTGCCAGTTGCACTTGCGGCACTGCATCACGCTCTCGTTCTCCTGGACCTTCCTCGCGCAGCCGTCGCACCTGCCCGCCATCGCCATCTCGGCCTCGAGGTCGTGCCCCTCGGGGCAGTGCACGACAGGGCTGCACGTCCCGCAGAGGTACCAGTTGCAGGCCGCGCAGCTCATGACCAGCTCCTCCGAGGAGGAGGAGGAGGAGGGGGAGGAGAAGGAAGAGGAGGAGGAAGAGGAGGAGGAAGAGGAGCTCCTTCTCCTTGACCAGCTTGCCGCAGCCGTTGCAGCTGCCGGCCTTGGCGCCCAAAGGCTGCATCGTGTGGCCCGCGCTGCACCGCGGGAGCACCCCCGCCACCTCCGGCACGCGGAACTGCGCGGAGACCTTGCTCGTCGGGTGGCAGGCTTCGCAGACGAACCAGTTGCAGCGCCTGCAGTCCATGACCATGCTGCCCTTCGGCACGGCCTTGGAGCAGGAGTCGCAGATGCCGGGAGCCTGTGAAGCCCACTTCCCCAGCGTGTGGCCCGTGGGGCACTTGGTCACTGGGTGGCACACTCGACACAAGTAGTAATTACACTCCCGGCAGTCCATGACCACCTCGCCAGTCTTCAGGGTCCTGCTGCAGCCGTCGCATTTCCCCGCGACGGCCGTGGCGGTCTGCAAATCGTGGCCCTTCTTGCACTGCTCGATGGGCTGGCAGGTCTGGCAGACGTAGTAGTTGCAGGCCCTGCACTCGAAGACCAGCTGCCCCTGGCGCACAATGCCGCCGCACGCGTCGCAGCTGCCGGCGTCCCCCACGGTGCAGACGAGCCCGTGGCCCGCCGGGCACTGCGGGCACTTGGCGCCAGCGGTCTCCTGCCCGTGGCCCGCTGGGCTCTGCTTCGGCTGCGCGCCCGCGGGCTCTGCCACGCCGCCCCCCTGCGCTGCCACCTCGTCCAACCTCTCCAACAACTTCGCGGCCGCGGGTGCCTCCGGCATGATCACGGGCTGCTCGGCCACGACCGCCGCCGCCATGGTGACCTCTCACCTGCGGCCTCCGCGCCGCGGCACCCGCGTACAGGTCCTGAAACGATGCCCCTCGCGGCTGAGCTCTGAACCACCCCTCGCTCGAGCCCGAACGGTTCGGATGCACGGCGCCAGCGGTCCGGAGTCTCGCGGCCGACGTCTGGCCCGTTTTGGCACGCCAAGCTGGTCCTCCCTGCCCGGGTAGACGAAGGGAAGCGCTGGGTGCGTGCAGTCTTCCTCCTCCTCCTCCTCCTCCTCCTCCTCCTCCTCCTCCTCCCCCTCTTGGGTTGCGCATCTCAGAAGGAACCCCTCCCTCAAAAGGCCCTCACCCTGTCCAACGAATGGAGCCCTCGTGCGAGGAGCGGGTGCTCGCCGAGTGGGTGCTTCGGCGGCCGCGGCTGGCTGACACCAGATGTAGCACGAGAACGAGTTGCTGCAGGGGTGGGCAGTGGAGAAGCGATGGAGACTGAGGGGCCTGCATCGAGAGACACTGACACAGCATCAAACAGGCAGATGGGATAACAGCGGACCTGAGCAATACAACTGAAGCTCCCCCTTGAACAACACCAGCGCTTCCAGAATCAACGCTCTGAGCTCAGATTCAGTGAACAGCTTCTCTGCAGGGGTCCCGCGGTCTCCGGCTGTCAGGTCGAGGCCGGCTGCGAGGCCCTCCAGATCCTGAGTCCGTGGCCCGCGGTCTCCCGAGTGGTCTCCCTCCCACATAGCCTCACGCACGGCCTCCCGCATGGCCTCCCGTATGGTCCCCCGCATGGTGTCTCCCAGGTGATCTCTCCCGCATGACCTCCCGGATGGTCTCCCGGATGGACTCCCGTATGGCCTCCCGTTTGGTTTCCCTCATGGTCTCCTGTCTGGTCTCTCGCATGGTCTCCCGTATGGCTGCTCTCATGGTCTGCCGCTGGATCTCCCGTGAGATCTCATGTATATGGTCTCTCGTATGGTCTTCCAGGTGGTCTCCCGTCTTGGCCCCCTCGTGGTCTCCCGTGTGGTCTCCGCTGTGGTCATGGCCTCCCGTGTGATCTCCCGTGCGGTGTGCCGCATGGCCTCCCGCGTGGCCCCCCTGTGCGCGCAGCGCAGCATGATGCTTCTGTACCATTCAAGTATGCTGTTTGTGAAGGGGCCCAGGGACACAGAAATAGATACACACAAATAACCGGATTCCCCATATTTTCCATATGTTCTGGGTTTTTGTCTTCCCCCCCACTTCCCATGTTTTCTACATGTTCCTGGGAGTCGACGATTAATGGTGTCTGTGTGTTTCTTCCCCTCCTGAGTTTAGGGTCTTCTGCCACCTGAGTGCAAGTTTGGGGAGAACGGGGCGCATGCTCGGAGACAACAACTCACTGAGCATACTGTATGTTGTCAATCGGGGACGCACTGACCCGGGTCAATGCAAACCCCGGTCAACTGCAAGATCCTGCAGAATCCTGCGCGCTAGCCCGGGACAGTGCAACCCTGGCTTTGCAGGATGCTGCACGATCTGGCGCTCTGGCTGACCAACGTGTAGTGACCCCCGTCTCAAGGCTCCCGAGTGCATCTGCAACTACACATCGGGGCAGACACCAGGTGACAATGTGCACGCCTAGCACGAATAAGCCGAATGTAACATCAAGGGCATGAGAAGCTGTGCCAATGAGTGAGATGTACACATTGAATCCCACCAGCCCTCTGGGCGTAGGTGGTCTAGGGAGGTTTCTCTTCCAACCTCCTTCTTCCCCTTCGGGGAGCGGCTTATCACTGTTCTCTAATAATATATTCCCCCTCCCCCAGGCGACAGCCAACCAGGAACCATGCCCCCCCCCCAACCATCCCTGTCAAAAAAAACATGCAACGCGCACTCTGCCTCCAAATTCAAAGCATGCGCAACCAACCCGATGCGGGCCCCCCCACCGTCCTTGCCAACAAACAAAACAAAGTACACTTTGGGGCAAAGTCTTGAGTCATGTTCGTGAGGCCCGCGAGCACTTTGTATGGTTTGTTCGACAGGAACGGCGGGGGTGTCAGCATATTCCCTGCTGCGCGCAGGGCTACCATCCCTGAACAAAAACACACAATACAACATGCACCTCCCGACTAAATCTGGATCTTTCGCGGCCACCCCGCGATCATTGCCAAGTGGTTTTTTAACAGAGACGGCCGGGGTGGTGGCGTATGATCTGCTGTGCGCAGGCCCACCAGACACAATAATGGGCATTGGTTCTCGACAAGGATGGTGGGGCCGACACGTTTCCCGATGTGTGCTGTCACGTGCGCAGGCTCACCTGACACACTCTGCACGTGCCCCGAACGTGGTGCACCGAGTATGCGGCACACCTGGCGCACGCGGAGGTGCGTGGCGCATCTGGCGCACCAGGCGTGCCTGGCACGCTCGGGCCCCAGGGGTGCCTGGCGCGCGTGGCGCGCCTGGCACGCGTGGCGCACCTCGCCCCAGCGTCGCGCACATGGGCTCGGTGTTGGTTCCCAGTAGCTGTCCATCCAAATACAATCGCTGAACATGATGAGGCTCGGGTGTTACGTATGTGTTGGGAGGGCGGGTGGGACTGAGCTAGACAGCTTGCTCTCTGGAGGGTATCTTGACCACTGTCCTTGGTTAAAATACACTCCCTCCCCCACCCGGCCGGCGGCCAACACGGAACCATGCCGACTCCATGCGGGCCCGCCCCACCATCCGTCAAAAACAATACAAACCGCACTCTGCATCCACATTTGAAGCATGCGCGGCCAACCCGATGCGCCCCCCCATCATCCCTTTCAAAAGCCAATGCAAAGTACACTTTGGGGCAAAGTCTTGAGTCATGTTCGTGAGGCCCGCGAGTAGTTTGTATTGTTTTTGACAGGAACGGCGGGGGTGTCAGCGTATTCCCTGCTGTGCGCAGGGCTACCATCCCAGAGAAACAATTAGCCTGACGAATGACCCAACCACATGCAGCTGCGAGTGTCGCATTGTGGGTACCGCTTTCGGTGGAGCTCCCTATGGGGTCTCGAAGCGTGCGAGGGGTGCGCCGAAATCGGTCGGTGACGCGGACGCATGCGGACCCTGCCACTGGAGCCTTCGGTGGAGCTCCCCCATGGGGCCACGAAGCGCTGTCCTGGGAGGCGGTGGCGCATGCGGACGCTGCCGCTGGAGCCTTCGGTGGAGCTCCCCATGGGGCCACGAAGCGCTGTCCTGGGTGGCGGTGACGCATGCGGACCCTGCCACTGGAGCCTTCGGTGGAGCTCCCCATGGGGCCACGAAGCGCTGTCCTGGGTGGCGGTGACGCATGCGGACCCTGCCACTGGAGCCTTCGGTGGGGCTCCCTATGGGGTCACGAAGCGCTGTCCTGGGTGGCGGTGACGCATGCGGACCCTGCCACTGGAGCCTTCGGGGAGCTCCCTACGGGGCCACGAAGCGCTGTCCTGGGTGAGGGTGACGCATGCGGACCCTGCCAATGGAGCCTTCGGTGGAGCTCCCTATGGGGCCCAAAAGCGCTGTCCTGCGGCGGTGACGCATGCGGACCCTGCCACTGGAGCCTTCGATGAGGCCACGAAACGCTGTCCTGGGTGGCGGTGGCGCATGCGGACCCTGCCACTGGAGCCTTCGGTGGAGCTCCCCCATGGGGCCACGAAGCGCTGTCCTGGGAGGCGGTGGCGCATGCGGACGCTGCCGCTGGAGCCTTCGGTGGAGCTCCTTACGGGGCCACGAAGTGCTGTACTGGGTGGGTGAAACGCAGGGAGGTAACGAGGCGGATGGGAGGAGGGAGGAGGGGGAGGAGGAGGGGGAGAAAGCAGGCGGGAGGCGGGAACGCGGGGCGCCGTCTCTTCAAAACGAGGACCGAACACCACAGGATGTCTGGGAACAGTACAACATGCACCTCGCGGCTACATCCGGATCATGCGCGGCCATCCCGCGATCATTGCCAAATGATTTTTGACAGAGACGGCGGGGATGGTGGCGCGTGGCCTGCAGTGCGCAGGCCCACCAGACACAATGATGGGGGCATTGGTTTTCGACAAAGATGGCGCGGGCCGACATGTTTCCCGATGTGTGCTGTCACGTTCGCAGGCGCACCTGACGCACTCTGCACGTGCCCCGAACCTGGCGCACCTGGCGCGGCTGGAGTGCGCGGCACGCCTGGCGCACGCGGAGGCATGTGGCGCATCTGGCGCACCAGGCGTGCCTGGCACGCTCGGGCCCCAGGGGTGCCTGGCGCGCGTGGCGCGCCTGGCACGCGTGGCGCACCTCGCCCCAGCGTCGCGCACATGGGCTCGGCCTTGGTTCCCAGTAGCTGCCCATCCAAATACAACCGCTGAACATGATGAGGGTCGGGTGTTACTCATGTGCTGGGAGGGCGGGTGAGACTGAGCTAGACGGCTTGCGGGCGGGTGGGTAGCTTGACCCCTTCCCCCTACCCCCTCCGCTGGACCTGGACGGGGCGCTCCGCGAGGTGTCAGAGGGTACTCTTTCGCCAAAGATGGCTCCAAGAGAGCCTTAGTGAGCCCAAGATGACCTCCAACATGGCTCAAGATAGCCCAAGATGCTTCAAGTCGGCTGCCAAGATGCTCCAAGAGGCCCCAAGAACGCTCCAAGACACCTGCGAGACCTCCAAGGAGGCATTCAAGAAGCCCAAATCCTTTTCAAACCGAGGAAACATCATGGTGTGTTGCTTTTTCGCCTTTTCGCTTCCCATGGCCATCCGAGGCCTCAAGATGGCCCCAAGATGGCCCAAGAGGGCCCCAGGAGAGACCCCAGAGAGCCCCGAGACGGCCCCAAGAGGGCCCACTAGCGCTCCAAGAGCGCTCCAAGAGCGCTCCAAGACACGGCCCCAGGAGCGCCCCTGAAGCTCCCAAGAGCGCCCCAAGAGGGCCCCAAGCGGCGCCCCGACGGCCCCGAGCGGCGCCCAGGAGGCCTCCAAGAAGCTCCCAGGAGACCCCCGAGAGACCCCCAAGAGGATGCCCCCGCGAGACCCAATACGCTCAAAGATGGCCCCGGGCTCGCCAGGTGCCCCTTTTCCTCCTCCTCCTCCTCCTCCTCCTCCTCCTCCTCCTCGCCCTTCTCCTCCTCCTCCTCCTCCTTCTCCTCCTCCTCCTCCTTCTCCTCCTCCTCCTCCTCCCTCCTCCTCCTTGCTCTTCTTCGCTTTCCTCCTCCTTCTCCTCCTCCTCCTCCTCCTTCTCCTCCACCACCCGCCCCTCTTGGGGTATCGGACGGCTTTCCCCGCCCTTGGCTGCTCTGCATGGCCCCCCACTTCCCTGGTCACTTCAACTCCCCTAGACATCGTTTCTGGATGGGCTGGTGGGGATATGCGAAGCGTCAACATTTGGACACACAAAACGCTACACTGAAAAACACATCAATGCAATGTCATACGTGTATGAACGGGCGGAACAAAATGAATAGCAAAACGCGTCCTGGTAAGTCGGAAATACAGCTTCGGAGAGAGAAGGCTGGCGGTCACTGGAACCTCATCGTTCATGTTCTCGCCTTCCCTCGTGTCATCGGCACACGCCTGCAGATCGCACATTCACTGAGGGAGGTCGCGTTTGCTCGGCATGGAACCTCATGACAATTCTTCTCAGGATCTATATGTGTGCCCACAAACAGAACTAGCTATTACAAGTTTGTTCGGATCTTTGTGTGAAATTCTGACTCCGATATCAGGCCCCGACCCGAAATAGACCAGGCGCTGCACGAACATTCACACGAACAGTCGCAAGAAACGCGCCGCTCTCTTAGCAACAGGGAGACGCTTTCACCATGAACGACCAACTAGACTGTCCACCACAAGGGTCTCTCGAAGTACCACTCCCCCACAAGAAACCCACTATTGACTTCTCACCCTAAGGAGGCGAGGACACGTTAGCCGGCGCTCCTCGTCTTCCTCCTCCTCCCCCTCCTCTTCTTCCGCTTCGTCCTCTGTGGTTCTCTCATGCGGCCGCGGTGGGGAGGAGCGGGTGGCGGGGGCAAACTCAGACGGCCCTACGCTCAAACGCTCTCGCGGCGGCACGGGGTCGGGTGCCACACGGTGGGGGCGTTCGTTGAGGAACGTGCCCGGCAGGCTGCAGACCCCGGGGGGCCCTTCTCTGATGCGGGCGGCGGTGCTGTGAATGGCTTAGCCTCAAGTGGCGTTCCGCTGGCTTCCAGGCACTGGATGCCGTATCCTTGAGGAATGAAGAAACGACCCTACCCGGGGTTACAAGTGCGTGGTCTGTAAACCTCCTGGGAACCCCCAAAGCATGGAGCCGCCAGGACGCGGCACATCACGCAGGGTTTACCCTGTCAGCCCACAGGAGTTTCAGAGCACGGCGCCTCGTAAACCAGGGTAGGGGCGTTTGTTATGCCCTTGATATCCGGTGGTTCCTTACCCGATGCCCCCCTCGTATCTCGGACCCGGCATGCCGCGGACTCGCCCACTGCCGTCCAGGGCGTCCTGACCAGGAGATCCGCTCGAGGCGGGCGCCCCCGCCTCGCCGAACCCCCACGCGGGGGCACGGGTCGGTCAGAGCCGCGGCCGCGACCTGACCTGCACTGGGCGTCAGATCTCGGTGGGCGTGCGGCGTCGCCGTGGCATCGACGAGGCGGCGTCCGGGGGCGCGGCGATTCTCCGTCCGACGTCGTGGAGGAGGAGGAGGAGGAGGAAATAGGAGGAGGAGGAGGAGGAGGAGGAGGAGGAGGAGGAGGACATGGAGGAGGAGGAGGAGGAGGAGGAGGAGGAGGAGGAGGAGGAGGAGGAGGAGGAGGAGCAGGAGAAGGAGGAGGAGGAGGACGTGGCGATGCTCCGTACGACGTCGAGGAGGAGGAGGAGGAGGAGGAGGAGCAGGAGAAGGAGGACCATGAGAAGGAGGAGGAGGAGGAGGAAGAGGAGGAGGAGGAAGACGACGACGACGACGACGACGACGACGACGACGACGACGACGACGACGACGACGACGACGACGACGACGACGACCGACGACGACGACCGACGACGGAATCCGTTCAAAATCTGTCCCTGGACCCCCTGCCCCACTCCAACCTCTCCCCCTCGCGACGGCGACGGCAACGGGGCGAAGGCGGCGGAGGCGACGGCGACGGAGGCGACGACGACGGTGGGAGGACGACGAGAAGGGGGAGGAGGAGGGCGGGAGGGGGGACGAGGAGGAGGCAGGGCGGATGGGGAGGCCCTTCTCCCTCCACTCCTGGAGGAGGAGGCCCTCTCCTCCCCTCCCCCCTCCCCGCCTCCTCTCGCTCGGCCGCTCCGCCGCCGCCGTGGATATGCATAGATTTGGGCCCCCAGAGGCCCAGGCATATATCCACACGCCCCGCCTAAAGGGGTCCGCAAAGGTCGATCCCTCGGGCGGTGGCTGTGGACAAATCCCCGCTCGGAGGCGGGGAGGCGGCCTGGTAGCACAGCTCCCGCAGCGCCCGCGCGTGGCCCAGCCCGAAGCCGGCGGCCCGGACCCGGAGGCAGAGCTCTCCTGTGGAGGGCGGCTCGCAGCCTCACAGGGTGGCGGCGACGGACCTACGACGGCGGCGACGGACGGCGGCGGCGGGCGGCGGCGGCGGCGACGAAAACGGCGACGGCGACGGCGGCGGCGGCGCCGACGGCTGCGGCGACGACGACGACGACGACGACGACGACGACGACGCCCGAACGAGCGTCCAAATCGGCTGAAGCCCTGAGGCTTCTTCTTGTGTAGAGACTGTGCATTCTCGCCGCAGCGGTGGCAGGAGCGTACAAAACGTCCCTGGAGCCCCCCAAGACCAGCTGCGGATGGCCCAAGGGTCCCCCCAAACACCCGGCACGCCTCCCCCCCCCAAGAGAGCCCCCTCAAGCACTCCACCGGCGCACCGCTGAAGCCAACCCTCCCACCAGAATCCCAAGACCCACAAATGTCCGCATGAGGGCCACCCAGGAGGGCCATATCGGCCCCCAGGATGCACAGTAGGCCCCTACAAATGTTCCCGGGGCCTCTGGAATGCGACCCCAGCGCAGTGGCGGGATGGTCTCGACGATGATGATGATGATGATGATGATGATGATGATGATGATGATGATGATGATGATGGTGATGATGATGATGATGCTGATGCTGATGATGATAATGATGATGATGAAGGTGATGATGATGATGATGATGAGGATGATGATGCAGATGATGCAGATGATGATGATGGTGATGATGATGGTGGTGATAATGATGATGATGATGATGATGATGCTTATGATTATGATGATCTTGATGATGATGGTGATGCTGATGACGATGCTGATGATGGTGGTGGTGATGCTGATGGTGATGAGGGTGATGACGATGATGATAACGATGATGCTGATAGTGATGATGTTGATGATGATGATGAGGATGATGATGAGGATGAGGATGGTGATGCTGCTGATGATGATGGTGGTGATGATGATGACCATGGATGTTGAGGATGCTGAGCATGATGATGAGGATGAGGATGACGATGATAACGATGATGCCGATGACGATGATGCTGGTGATGATGCTGATGGTGGTTATGATGATGGGGATAATGATTATGACGATGAATATGATGTTGATGATGATGATGATGGTGGTGGTGGTGGTGATGACGATAATGCTGATGATGCTGCTGATCATGATGGTGATGCTGATGTCAATGCTGATGATGGTGATGATGATGCTGCTGATGATGATGAATATTGTGCTGCTGCTGATGATGATGGTGATGATGTTATTCTTGCCGGCGGTGTTGACGGTGGTGATGACGATGGTGATGATGACGCTGCTGCTGATGATAATGATGATGGTGATGATGCTGATGATTATGGGATTCTCGCCTTCGCATTTCAGCCGCCTCTGCACCTTGCCCCGTCCCCATTCTGCCTCATGCGTCCAAACTGTTCACTGCTCAGGGTTGGCGGAACCAGTCATAAGGCCTGTGCAACATGGTCGAATACATGCAGTATACGATGACGTTCACGCTCGATCAGACAGCAATGCCCAGTCATCCCATCTCCAGGGCCGCCAGTCCCAGCATCTCCGACAGTGCTAGGAATGCCACAGCAGTTCAGGACGTTCTACACTGCAGCGTCGACAAAGATGCGGTGGCGACGGCGACGACGAAGGCGGCGACGGCGGCGGCGACGATAGAGCGGCGATAGCGGCGGCGACGACAGGGGGAGGACGACGAGCAGGAGGAGGGGGGGTGAGTGCGATAAGGAGGGGGGAGAGGAGGACCTCCTCCTCCTGCGGCTCCTCCTGGCGGGGGCTGAGGATGAGCGGGAGGAGGGGAGGCGGAGAGTGAGGGGGAGACAGAGAGAGAGAGAGAGAGCGGGAGAGAGAGAGAGAGAGAGAAAGAGAGCGCTCACTGACGGGCAGGTCCCGGCCCAGCGCGGAGCGTGGGTAGATGGCATCGCAGTGCCTCAGATGTGCAAATCTAGTCTGGCTTTCTCAACGTTGCAGAGCAGAAACTTCTTTTCCCAATGCTTCCACCGCTTCGTGTCTGCAGCAAGTTCAAGCCAATCTGCCCCAAACCGCCTCGTTACTGGCATTCCGTAGAAAGTGTAGTTTACTCGAGTTCCAGCGCGTTTTCGGCCTCTGCTGCCATCGGCCTTTCGCCCTCGGACACTCCGCCGCATCCCAGCATCCCAAATATCGGGGGCGGTAAAGAGGGGGGCGTCCAAGAGGGGGGGCGCAAGTCATGGCCAGCGGCATGTGCGCGGCCCAGGGGGGGGGCAGGGACGTAATGAAATAAGAAGAGGCGCCATGAAATCAGAGGAAATATCATGGCCCATGCCATGATATCCACCCCCCCTAGTCATCACCCCCCTCTTCGCCGCCCCCGAGTAGCGCCAAACCTTGGGTCTCCAGGTGACGACCGGACTGTCGATCGGCAGCTCCGCCACGTGGTGCTCCACTTTGGTTGCAGCATGTGTGATCCAATCTGTCCACGGCTCCAGGGTACGCTGTGGGACCAGAGACGAAAAGGAAGAAGACGGTGCTGATGAAGAAAGTTGGAAGACGAATTTGAGCAGAAGCTCTGGTCAGCATCACCTTCGGGTGCGCCCAGTACGCGACTTCGTCCGATACATAAGAACATTCGCGGCAGCGGGCGCTGTGTTGTTTGAAGCCTTTGTTCCATGGCAGCGGAAAGTGTTCAGCTCGATAACCAATACAATACTGCAGCGTGACCATGCTCGCGAAGTGGCGCAATCGACACCTGAGCGAGTATGTCTTGATGGTGAGCTCCTTCTTGTTCGACATAGACGCCTTCCATCTTTGACGTAAGCGGTGTTTAATTTCTGTTTCCACGGGGTTCTCGAACACACCGTGTTAACCCAAATACTCCACAGGGGGAGGGGCGAAGAGCGGGGGTGAATATAGGGAGGAGGAAGATGAGAGGGAGGACGACTACGACGACGATGACGACGACGACGACGGGGACGAGGCAGATGATGAGGAGAACGGAAAGGAATGGCCAAAGCAAGCACGTAATAGATCAACGATGCTGCAACACACATTGGCGCCTCATGTCCGTACGTGTATTCTTGTTATTAGATACGGGAAGTGCCCCCGTTGAAAGACGGGCACCTTATGGACCTGCCGTTCAGGCGAGAGCTCAGTTTTGGACAGGAGTGGCCCTGTACCAGTTGAAGTATTCGAATTGTCGAGACGCAAAATGATAACATGCAAGGGCGCATCAAACGAACATGCCGTTATGGAAAAACACTCTGCATCCGTGTAACTTACTAGATGGACTCTTGCCATAAGACATACGTGGGTACATGTGTCGGCAGCTTCCTGCAGTGCACAAGGGCGTATGCGGTTTCCCATGGCCACCAATGGGATAAGATATCTCCGTGGGGGCCACTTGTTTCAGGCCGATGGCTTACTGAACGTGCCAAGAGTTATCTGTCAGTCTCCAGTACGTGCTTCTCTGATGACCGCTTCCACCTCGTGCCTGAAGATGTGGACGCGTGACCTTTGTGCCTACGGCGTGCTTGGCAATCCTGCTCCTGCTCCTCCTCTCACCTCTTCCCCCTTCCCTCTTTCCTCCTCCTCACCCCTCTCCTCCCCCTTCTCGTCCTCCTTCTTCTCTGGGGATTGCTCAAGGTGCCTCTGGCCTCAGGTGCCCCCAGCTTTTCGCTCCATTTTGGAGCCCTGGGGCCTCCTGGGCCTCGTGAGGGATACTCTGGAGGCCGTGGGGGGGGGGCTTCCTTGGAAATCTTGGGGGCACCTTAGGCCAGGGGCACGTCCTAGCAACACCCGGCGCGTTCCTTCATTATTATTCCTCGTGTTCCTCATCTGCTTCTTCATAGTATTAGCATGTTTCTTAGCATTCTTAATCTTACTAGTACTACCTGAATTGTTATGGGTTAGTATTGTTAATATTATTATTCTTTTTATTACAATTATTATTCTCGTTAATATCATTATGATGCATATCATTACTAGTATCATGATTCGTACTACTACTGTTATTACGATTACTATCGCTAGTATTCAGACTATGCTTAGTATCATGATTAGTATGATGATTAGGAATGCTACGTTATGTTTATTATTATTATTATTACTGTTATTATTCCTCTTCCTCCAACACCTCAAGGGGCCGACGCCCGAAGTGTCCACACAGGTATCGCACCATCGGCGGGGAAAAGGAGAAGCGGCGAGCAGAGGCGGGAGCAGAGCGGCGGCGGCTCGAGACCAGCCATCGCCGCAGGGATCGAGGGCCTCCAGCCTTCCCCTCCTCCCCCCTGCCTCCACCCCTCCTCCCCTCCTCCCCCTCCGCCCCCCCCCCTCCCTCCTCCTCTTCCTCTCCTCCTCCTTCCTCCTCTCCTCCTCCTCCTCATTCTCCTCCTCCTCCTCCTCCTATCCTCCCCCCTCCCCCTTTTCCCTCCTCCCTCCTCCCCCTCCTCCTCCCTCCCCCCTCTCCTCCTCTTCCCCTCCCCCCTCCCCTCCTCCTCCTCCTCCTCCTCCTCCTCCTCTTCCTCCTCCTCCTCCTCCTCCTCCTCCTCCTCTCCTCCTCCTCCTCCCTCCTCCCCTCCCTCCTCTCCCTCCCCCTCCCCCTCCTCCTCCTCTTCCTCCTCCCCCCTCCCCTCCTGCTCCTCCTCCTCCTCCTCCTCCTCCTCCTCTCCTCCTCTTCCTCCTCCTCCCTCCTCCTTCTCTCCTCCTCCACCTCCTCCTCCTCCTCTCTTTTCCTCTCCTCCACCCCTCCTCTCCTCCTCCTCCTCCTCTCCTCCTCCTCCTCCTCACCCTCCTCCCCTCTTCCCTCTTCCCCTCCTCCGTCCCCCGCCTCCTCCTCCTCCTCCCCTCCTCCTCCTCCTCCTCCTCCTCCTACTCCTCCTCCTCCTTCCTCCTCATTTCTCCTCCTCCCCCTCCTTTGCCCCCCCTCCTCCCTCCCCCTCCTCGCTCCTCCCAGCCCCCTCCTCATTTGCCTCCTCCCTCCATGCCCGTGAGAATAAACACTAGGGGATAATAACGTTCGGGGTTCAGGGAGAGATAATAAAAGTAGCCCAGCAGACCTCAGCATAATCTCGAAGTAAGAGATGATCAAGAGGAGACCAAGCCGAGCACGTTTTGAGACATCCTTGGCGTTTAGTTTTCATAGAAGTATCCTCAACAATGGCTTATCTCGCTGGAATGGAGGAAGCTATATATAAAAAATAAAAATAAAAATAATAAATAATAAAATGAAAGAGATGATAGGAGGAGGAGAAGGACGAAGAGAAGAAACAATCTCGATTTTCAGATCTATTAGATTTTATTCACAAGCGCTTTATGAACATTGTTTTTTGTAAGTGCTCGTGTAGGGTAGCTCTTGTGCCTCAATTTCCATGGATAATCACCCCCAGAGATAAAAAGTTCAGGCGAGCGTGGGGACAGAGAGAAATATAAAAGAAGAAGAATGCAGTAGAAGAATAATAAGAAAGAAGAAGAAGAGGATAATAAGAAGAGGACGAAGAAAGGAAAAATCCAAAGTTCCAAATCTACCAATTTTAATGTACAAGCGCTTTATGATTTTTTTTTAAGTGCTCGTGTAGGGTAGCTCATGTGCTTCATTTTCCATGGCTAATCAACCCCAGGGATAAAAAAGTTCAGGCGAGCGTGAGGACATATAGAAATATAAAAGAAGAAGAGGAAAGTAGAAAAATAATAATAAGAGAAGAAGAAGAGAAGAAGAAGAAGAAGAGAAGAAGAACGGAAAAATGGAAAGTTCCAAATCTATCAATTTTGATTTACAAGCGCTTTATGAAAATTGATTTTTTAAAGTGCTCATGTAGGGTAGGTAGTTCATGTGCTCCCCTTTCCATGGATAATCAACCCCAGAGATAAAAAAAGTTCAGGCGCGCGCGGGGATAGCAACATCGCTTGATGTTGCTATCTCAACATAGCGTTTCGAGGTGATAATGAAGTTCGGCCTCAGCGCTCGCCGCCCAATTTGAATTTTGTATAGGGCGACGATAATCAACTCTAAACACTGAAGGGGGGGGGTCCCTTTATTATCATCGGCATGCGGTTACTCTCCCTCTTCCCCTGATGGCGTCCGGGTGATGGCCGCGCACCCTCCGCGTACTTTTTTTTTACACACAACATTCCCGGGAAATCCCGGGAAACGACTCTCGCTGAGGCGCCGGCGTCATTTTTTCCCAAAATGCTGCTCTCGTTGAGGCGCCGGCCTCATTCCTGCTCCCGAATCGTTCCGAATCGTGCTCCCGCTGCAGCGTGGGCCTCATTTTCGGATCGGTGTTTGGCCTCCGTCGTTCAGGATGGCGTTCTCGCCCCAGCGCGGGCCTTTTTCTCGCGCGCCCATCCGCCCGCCACCACCGCGCCGCACCGCCACCACCACCACCACCACCACCACCACCACCACCACCACCACCACCACCACCACACCACCACCACCCACACCAGTACCAACCACCACCACCACCACCACCACCACCACACCACCATCACCACCACACCACCACCACCACCACCACCACCACCACCACCACCACCACCACCACCACCACCACCACCACCACCACCACCACCACCACCCACCACCACCACACCACCACCACCACCACCACCACCACCACCACCACCACCACCACCACCACGACAACCACGCACACACGCACGCACGCACGCACGTGCACCACCACCCACTACGCACGCGCGCGCGGAGCCACAGGTCCGCTACGACACGCGTCCGCGGATAGAGAAAATCAGCGCCATGGTAAGGGATGGGAGGGAGGGGTAGGACGTCAGATATGACGCGAGCGCACCTAGCTTGTCCCTCCCCCCTCCCTCCCTCCCTCCCTCCCTCCCTCCCTCCCTCCCTCCCTCCTCCTCCTCCTCCTCCTCCTCCTCCTCCTCCTCCCCCCTCCTTCCGAGGGGGCAGGCCGAAGCTCGGCCACCCCCCCATCCCGTCCGAGCTCGTCTTCGCTCAGGAGGCCCATCACTGCATACGTCAGGACGCCTGAGCGGAGGACGCACACACTCGGAGCTCCTGACAGTCGTCAGACTCTTGCTCGGCTGACCTAACCATCTCTTCCACTTTGTGCCCCCTCAGTACACCTTCCATGCTCGCTCCCATGTTCTTGTACTATGTTTTGAAGCTTCCTTCGGCCATTCCTTTGAAGCCCGTTCCCCTGGAACACGATGCACGCCTCAGACTAACATCGAGTGTGTTTGACTGCAGGTCCGCTACATGGTCGATCTCAACACTCTCATCGCACCGTCGACAAAGATGCCCCTCCTCTTCGCCCTCCCCCTCCTCCTCCTCATCCGTCCTTCCTCCTTGCTCTCATCCTTCCGTTCCCTCCCCCCGCTTCTTCTCAGCCTCATCCCACCTCCCCCTCCTCAGCTCCTCTGACCACCCCTCGGGGCCAGCCCCCGACCTCGGAGGCCCTGGCCCAGGGCGGGCTCCTCGCGGCACGCCCCCGCAGTACCCGCACAGGGCAGCAGCAGGCACGCCCGCACGAAGCGGCGGCGCGGAGTGCAGTGGAGGCCAGTCCCCAAGACACCTGCCACAAGACACCCAACCCTGAGACTCCAGGACGTCCGCGGACTCCTGGTGTGGGAGCGTCGCGCTCTCCAGCGCACAGCCATCGAGCCCCAAGAAGCCCAAGGCCCCCTGGAGGCAAGCGGGGTGTCGCTCGGCATGGGCCTCCACTAGTACCGCCGAGATCCGGTGCAGCTTTCCCGGGAACGTCGTGCAGGCGCAGGCCGGCGCGGCGGTTTGCGCACGGCCTTGGCTTATGTTGCTCCCCTCGTACTTAAGGACCACATCCCAGAAATAATTTCGAGCACCCGGAAAAGTGTCGAAAGAGTGTCGAAACAGTGTCGGGCGAGTGCCTCCCCGGGCCCGACACGTGAAAACCCTCGAGTTTCGGTACCTTTCTGGTGCTCGGAATTCTTTCTGGCGATCGAGGCTAAAGTAGGCTGGAACATCATAAACCTTGGCCATTTGCAGGGCCAACTTCCTGGGAAAGTTGTACAGGCGCAGGCCAGGCCGGCGGCTGGCGCACGGCCCGGGCCATGTGCACGGGGGCTGGGGCTCTGGGCGGGCCTCCTGAAACAGATACGGAAGGGGCGCTGTCCAGGACGGCGCCGGGAATGCTGCACCGACCTGCAGAGGTGCACGCAGGGCAGGACACGCGGGACGACGGGACGCGAGGTTTGGACGCCCGAAGTGGGCACGGAAAGAATGGGTACAAGGCCCAACAGCACATGTTGTCCCAAACCAGCAGCGGCCACTGCTGGGCAGACGGCCTTCTGTCTCAAATGGTTACAGGCCGCGGCGACACCGACAGCGAGCCCTGTTCAACATGATCAGGAACTGCTTTGGGGCATTGGACCCCTCCTTTCCGTACCCGTGCCGGTCGTGCCGACGAGGGACTGACGGGCAGCATCGGAGTTGGAATCGGCCCGCGGCGGCGGGTCGCGCCGTTTCCCAGGCACGCACCCGAGGCCCGACCGTCGCCACCTGGCGGACACCTCCGGGACAGGTCGTGCTCACTCGGCGCCCTGGCTGTGATGTACTGGAGGCCCCCGCTGCCCGAGCAGACTGCGACAGCAGGGCCACAAGCGAACACGACCTCGGGAGGAGCGCTGCCGCCGCACTGGGGGGGGGGGGGGGGAAGGGCCTCGAGGAGGGGGGCACGCCTCGAGAAGGTCGTGCCGACACTGCCCGCACGGCGGGTTGTGAGGGCACCTCCTGCCAAGCTTCCGAGGCCTACCGCCTGCTCCTCCTGCCCCGCTTTCACCTCTTCCCTCCCCCTCCTCCCCTTCTCCTCCTCCTCCCCCTCCTCCTCCTCCTCCTTCTCCTCCTCCCCCTCCTCCTCCTCCTCCTCCTCCTCCTCCTCCTCCACAACTGCACAATATGAATACTCCTCTCCTCTCTTCCCTGATGACGTTCGGAAGATATCTGGCCCACCTTCGCGTATTGTTTTTTACGCACAGGATTCCCGGGAACTGGGTTCTCGCTGTTTTTTCCCCAGATGTTGCTCTCGCTGCAGCGCTGGCCTCATTTTCGCGCTTCCGCTCGTTCCGAACCGTGCTCCCGCTGCAACGCTGGCCTCATCTCCGCGCTTCCGCTCGTCCCGAATCGTGCTCCCGCTGCGGCGCTGGCCTCATTACTTCCGGCGCCACGCCACGGCATGGTTTCGTGGCCCTTCCAGACTAGCCCCCCAAAGCCAGAAAAGGGCCTCCCGACAAGAACCATCGGAAGCGATTCCACACTCGGTGTAGATTCGTTGATTTTTTTGTGGGGGGGCCGCAGAGCCCCGGGGCGGGGCGTTGCCACGCCGTGCCGTGTCGTGCTGCGCGCTGCTCTTCAGCACCGTGCTGTGCCGTGCAGTGCCGTGCCGTGCTGCGGCGCCCGCTGGTGCGACTCGAGAGGGGAGACCTGCGCCATGGTGAGGGATGGGAGGGACGGGGCAGGACGCCAGCCACGACGCGAGCGCACCTGGCTTCTCCTCCTCCCCCTCCCCTGAGCCCTCACACCTCCCCCTCCCCTCCCTCCCCTCTCTCCCTTCCCCCTCTCCTCCCCCTCCTCCCTCCCCTCCCCCTCCCCCTGGCTTCTCCTCCTCCCCCTCCTCCTCTCCCTCCCCCATCTCCCTCCCCTCCCCCCCTCTCCTCCCCCGCAACTCCGCTCCTCCGCCTCGCCGCCGCGCTCCCGCTGCACCCGTGCCCCAGGGCGCCCGACTGCTCCAGTATGGACTTCAGGCAGGTCAGCCCCGCGGCCAGCACGCGCGCCGCCAGCTTGGAAGACATCATGCCTCGGGCAGCGGTGAAAAACGCGGAATCGAGGATCACGGCCGAAGACAGCCTTCGAGCCCTCCTGGCTGGGGTCCGAGCAGATGGGGTCGAAGGATCGCGCCGCATCGCCAAGGTATCGCTGGTGCGTCGGCGATGCATCGGCGACGCATCGGCGACGTCGGCGACGCATCCGCGACGTCGGCGTGGGGCAAATCGGGCTCCGCATAGATCCGCATCGCCGGTGCATCGCCGATGCATCGGCGATGCGGCGCGATCCTCCGACCCCATCTTCTCCGACCCCCTCTAGGAGGCCTTGAAGCATGGGGCACATTCGGACATAGGACAGAATAACATCTTCCAATCACATGAGACCCTCCGCTGGCCAGCATGAGATGGATTTCGCAGGAACATCCGTGGAGGAACAAAGGACGGCATAAACATAAACTTTCGGCGCTCCGCGAGAGAATTTCTTGGATCTGCCCTGGACCCCCCCTCCCAGGCGCGCCGGGCGCGCCAGGGGCGGCGCCGGAGGCGCCGCCAGGGGATTCCAGCGCAGATCAAAGAAATCCGCGCGGAGCTCCAAAAGTTTATGTTTATGCAGCTTTTTTGCTCTTCGAATCCAAAAAGGGCACGAAAAACATTAGGGCAACCTCGCCGAACCGACCTCGATCTTAAACCTCGGCCCGACGGTGCAAGCGGCCAAGAGGGAGGCGCTCAAGAGGGGGGGGCGCAAATCATGGCCGGCGGCACGTGTGCGGCCAAGGGGGTGGGCCAGGGATGTCTCGAAATAAGAAAAAGCGCCATATAATCTGGGGAGATATCATGGCCCCCGCCATGATACGGTAGAGGGAAACAATTACTGAACACTGCCCCTCCCCCTCAAACTCAAAGTTGGCACGCGCGGGGGAGACTGCGGTCGAGGTGCAACCCATCAGACCCACCGCCAACTTTGAACATCGGGGGGAGGGGAGGCGTTCACCGACGAATGTGTGGCATGAGTGCTCGCTCATGGCCCCCGCCGCACTATCCCCCCACTGGTCACCACCCCCCTCCTGGCCGCCCCCGGTGCAACCTTGGTGGGACCAGCGGCACGAACGCGGTCGGCGGCCACGTCCGTTCCACCGCGGAGCGACGGGAGGACGGCGGCGCTCCTGCGATCGACTGCAGCATTGATCTATCCGCCAAAAGTGGAGTTTCTCGTCGAGCCCACGAGCAGATAGATATATATATATATATATATATATATATGTAGGGCAGTCAGCAGATCTGCGGGGCGTTCTGCGCATGCTCCGTAGACTCGACGGGGAATCCATTCTGGGGCACATTGATTCTGTAGTCGATCCCCTACTCGAGCCGTGGCTCTTCCATACAGTGCTGACCCCCTCCAAACGTCGCGACCGCTGCATCGTGCGCTGCCCGACGACGACAGCGATCGACTCCCGGACATCTCCTGGAGCGAGCCCTGACCAAAATTTCGAGGCGGATCCAGCTGTGGTGACAAAGGCGCCCCCTGAAAGCCCCAGAAAACCTGGAGGATCCTCGAACACCGATCCACAACAACGACGGCTAACTGCGAGAGCGCATCGTCCTCCTGGCTATCTTTCCGAGCTGCGTCCAGCCGGGACGACGAGAACCCCCCGAAGGCGCCTCCAGAAACACTCAAACGGACCGCGACGACGGCGACGCGCCGCCCTGCGTTCGGCGCGGGAGGCCGTGGTAAGACGAAGCCGGGACGAGGACAAAATCGTGGAAGGACAGATCGAGAATCTCTGAGATCTGCCGGCTCTCTGGAGGATTAGGGGAACAAGCAGTGACATAAACATAACAACTCGGAGGTCCGCGCGGATCCGAGAAATCCGCGCGGACCTCCGAGTTTTTATGTTTATGCCACTTTTTGTTCCCCTGAGGATGCCTCGGGCGCCGCCGCCTCCTGCGAGCTTGCCGGAGCGCTTCTGAGAGCGCTTCGGGACGCCACGGAACGGAGTCATCCTCGTCCCAGCCCCGCCCGACGTTGGGGCACGCAGCGGGACTCCTGGGGACACCGCCGGCCAACGCCACCCCTCGCAACAGCAGGACCTCGGCCCCTGGTGGACGCATCGGCTACACTTCGGTCGGGCATGTTCCCCTACAGGCGGGTCTTTGGGCGGATATATATATATATACACATATATATATATATGGTTCTCGTTTGTTCTGTTACCGGCCTCGTGACCCCCACATCCCCCCGGCACCGGGGGCGACCCCAGCAAGGCCATCCTGACCTGACCACAAACTGAGCATGTAGCTTACGGCGCTGGTTCTCAAAAAACAAGCTTTCGCGTGAGACATCCTCAGAAAAATGAGATGTTGCAGATCGGGCGTCGGATATCCAACATGGTGTGGAGAAGCGTTTCGCTTGAGACAGCCTCGCAACAAGGCGTTGTGGGAAGAGTTGCCTAACGACGCGAATTCTCAAACATGAAGCGTTCGCCTGAGACATCCTCAGAAAATTGAGATGTCGGAGATCGGGCGTCGGATATCAGGCATGGCGTGGAGGAGCGTTTCGCTTGAGACATCCTCGCAACAAGGCGTTGTTGGAAGAGTTGTCTTCTAACGTTGATGCTCAGGAATGAAGCGTTCGCCTGCGACATCCTCAGAAAGATTAGATGTTGGAGATCGGGCGTCGGATATCCAACATGGCGTGGAGGAGCGTTTCGCCTGAGACATCCTCAGAAGATGGGGATGTTGGAGGAGTTGTCTTACGGCGCTGCTTCTCAAACAGAAAACTTTCGCCTGCGACATCCTCAGAAACATGAGATGTTGGAGATTGGGCGTCGGATACCCACCATGGTGTGGAGGAGCGCATCGCCTGAGGCATCCTCACAATATGGGGATGTTGGCGGAGTTGTTGCACGACCTCGATCCTCAAAAAGAAAGCTTTCGCCGGAGAAGTCATCGGAAAATTGAGATGCTGGAGATTGGGCGTCGGTTATCCGACATGGTCTGGACAAGCGTTTCGCCTAAAACATCCTGACAAAATGGGGATGTTGTAGGAGCTCGCTTACGACGTTGATCCTCAGAACGAAAGCTTTCGCCTGAGACATCCTCGGAGAAATGAGATGTCGGAGATCGGGCGCCGGATATCCATCATGGTGTGGAGGAGCGTTTCGCCTGAGACATCCTCACAATAAAGAGGATGTTAGGGGATTTGTCTTACGGCGCTGGTTCTTCAAATTAAAGCTTTCGCCTGAAACATCCTCAAAAAATGAAATGTTGCAGATCGGGCGTCGGATATCCATTATGACGTGGAGGAGCGCATCGCCTGAGACATCCTCCCAATATGGCGGATTCCCGTTTGACCTGTCAGCAGCCTCTCGGTCCCCAGCTTCACCCATCACAGGGTGCGACCCCAGCAACACCTTCCACACTGCCACTGTCAAACGGAAAGACCTTACAATGACATCAACAGGAAATTGTCGCCTGAGACATCCTCAGAAAAATGAACATGTTGGAGATCGGGCGTCGGACATTCAAGATGGCGTGGAGGAGCGTTTCGTTGCAGACATCCTCACACAATGGCGTTGTTGGAAGCATTATCTTACGACGCGAATGCTCAAGCATGAGGCTTTCTCCTGAGCCATCCGCAGAACAATGAAGATGTTGGAGATCGGGCGTCGGATATCCAACATGGTATGGAGGAGCATTTCGCTTGAGACATCCTCACAAAGTGCCGTTGTTGAAAGAATTGTCGTACGAAGCGAGTTTTCAAACTTGAGGCTCTCGCCTGCGACATCCTCAGAAAATTGAGATGTTGGAGATCGGGCGTCGGATATCACACATGGTGTGGAGGAGCATTCCGCTTGAGACATCCTCGCAAATGGCGTTGTTGGAAGAGTTGTCTTACGACGCGAATTTTCAAACATGAAGCGCTCGCCTGAGACATCCTCAGAAAATTGTGATGTTGGAGATCGGGCGTCGGACATCAGACATGGCGTGGAGGAGCGGTTCGCTTGAGAAATCCTCGCAACAAGGCATTGTTGGAAAGGTGGTCTTACGACACGAATTCTCAAACGTGAGGCTCTCGCCTGAGCCATCCGCAGAACAATGAAGATGTTGAGAGATCGGGCGTCGGGTATCCAGAATGGCGTGGGGATGCGTTACGCTTGACACATCCTCACAAAGTAAAGATGTTGGAGGAGTCGTTTTACAGCGTTGGTTCTCAAAATTGAAGCTACCGCCAGAGACATCTTCAGGAAATCGAGATGTTGGAGATCGGGCGTCGGGTATCCAGCATGGCGTAGAGGAACGTCTCGCCTGAGACATCCTCACAATATCTGGATATTGGAAGAGTTGTCTTACGACCCGAATTCTCAAATTGAAGCTTTCGCCTGATACACCCTCAGAGGTTGGAGGCCGGTCTTCGGATATTCAGCATTGCGTGTGTGGGGGGGGGAGGGGCGTTTCGCCTGAGACATCCTCACACAATGGGAATGGTGGAAGAGTTGATTTACGTCATTGGTTCACCTAGTAGTGAAGCTCTCGCTTGACACATCCCCAGGAAAACGATATGTTGTAGATCGGGCGTTGCTAGAAGACTTGTCTTACGACCCGAATTCTCAAAATGAAGCTTTCGCCTTGGACATCCTCAGAAACGTGAAAATGTTGGAGATCGGGCGTCCGACATCCAACACAGCGTGGGAGGGCGTTTCGCCTGAGACATCCTCACAAAGTGGCGATGTTGGACAAGTTGTTGTAGGACGCTTTGTTCTGAAAAAAAGAAGCGCTCGCCTTAGACATCATCAGGAAATGAAAAGGATATCCAACATGGTGTGGAGGAGCGTTTCGCCTGAGACGCCATCGCACCATTGGGGTGCTGGCGGAGTTGTGTTACGACGTTGGTCCTCAGAAACACTTACCCGTTCGCTTAAGATGTATTTAGGAAGTTGAGATGTTGAACGTGGGCATTGGATATCAAACTCGGTGTGGCTGGACGTTTCGCTGCGGACATCCTCAGAAACATGTTCAGTAAGCTCCCGAACTC